GCATAGAGAGTCGGAGGAAGATAAGGTCACGTAAGGTCACGATAGCCGTAACGTATGTTGCAGGGAATACAAAATTATGGTGATGTTGGAAATTTGTTGATGGCAAGTGCCATATCCAGACATGGGCGGACCTTAAGCAAGAATTGAAGTACCAATGCTTCTTTACAAAGGTAGAGTACATGGCTCGATAGAAGTTGCAAGGGTTGACGCAAATCAGAATAGTACAAGAATTTGTAAGAAACTTCTCTACAATAATGTTGGATATTAAGTATATTACCTAGAAAGATAAGTTGGTTTATTTTCTCGAAGGTTTGAAGCCATCCCAATAATGGATTTGTTACCACAAAAGGTATAGGATGTGACTTTAGCAATGGTAGCTACTGAACATTTTATTGATTATAGTGATAACTCACATAAACAGAAAGACCCTTTATCAAGAATCAGTAGCTCGAGCTCCAACAATGGGGCCAAAATTCTCAAAAGTTAACAAACCTTCGAGTGAGGGAGGAGCAAGGAGACAGCTGGCTAGGGACACTCCTCAAGTAAAAACAACTAAATTGTGGGGCTTCAAACCTTGAGCCTCAAAATTTTGCTTTTTTTGCAATGAACCTCATCAAGTAACTGATTCCCCCCATTGAGTAGTTCTTAATGCAATAGTACTATTAATGTGGAAGCACCTCGGGCCCAGACCCTAGTTAAGGAAGTCAGTGAGGGGTCGATGCATATGGGTTTAATTTGGTTGCTTAGTACTCTATAAACGCAAATAGAAAAGATGAAGAAAGAGTCTCAACAAGGTCTCATATATGTGAACGTGTTGGTGAACAATAAAAAGACTAAAGCCATGCTCAACATAGAGGCCTTCGATAACTTCATCACTTCTAGAAAGGCAGAGAGATGCGATCTCAAGATTGAGAAACACTTCGAGTAGATGAAAGTTATTACCTTGCCAGCTTCAACTATTATTGGGAACTCCAAAAACACAAAAGTTAAAATTGTTTCTTAAGTTTAGGGGGGAAGGTGAACATGATTATGGCCACCATAGATGACTTTGATTTTGTTCTAAGATTGGATTTTATGACGAAATCACAAACCATCCCATTCCATGCTGTTAGTTATCTAATGTTCTACAGGGAACAACCTTGTGTGGTACCAGCTAAAATTCTACTCAAAAATGGAAAGAGGATTATATCAGCTATCCAATTCCAATAAAAGATTAAGAAAGGAGAGCCTTCCTATGTGGCCATGCCTATCTATAAAGACAAAGATAGTATAAATTCATACCCATGGGAGTAAAGTTGGTTTTAGAAGAATTTCAAGATATGATGCCCAAATAGCTAGCTTGGGTCTTACCACCTTGACAAGCTGTTGATCATGAGATAGAATTACTCCTGGGTGGCAAGACACTTGAAAAGAGGCCATACAAGATGTTTCTCCCAAAGCTAGCAAAGCTAAGAAAACAATTAGAAGAGCTAAACCAAGTTGAATTCATCCAACCATCAAAAGCACCTTTTGGGGCCTTAGTACATTTTCAGAAAAAGCAAGATAGGAGTTGGCAATTATGCATGGATTGTCGGGCTTTGGATAAAGTCACAGTAAAGAATTAATATCCAATCCCTCTTACAATAGACCTTTTTACCAATTGAGTTGTGCAAAGTACTTGTCTATATTAGATTTGAGATCAAGCAACCATCAAGTAAGAGTTGTTGATGGAGATGAATTGAGAACCACTTGCGTGATGTGGTATAATGCGTTTGAATTTCTTGCTATACCTTTTGAACTAACCAATGCTACTACCATTTTTTGCACATTGATGAATTAGGGTTTTCACGATTATGTAGACAAGTTAGAGGTAATCTACTTGGATGACATTGTGGTGCACAATTCAACCTCAAAGGAGCGTTAGAGGTATTTGTGGCAAGTCTTCCAAAGATTATGTCACAACCAGTTGTATGTATAAAGGGAAAAATACGCATTCACGCAAACCCAAATTCAGTTCTTTTGTCACATAATTAAACAAAGGCATATTCGGATGGATATGCTGAAGGTGAAAGCTATCAAAGAATGGACCATCCCTAAAAACATAGCTGAGCTTTGCTCATTCTTAGGGTTAGCCAACTATTATCAAAGATTTATGGAAAGATATTCAAAACGATTGGTGGTACCTATAAAGTTTCTTAAAAAGGGACAAAAATGGAATTGGACACCTCAATTCCAAGAAGCTTTCTAAGATTTGAAAGGAGTGATAATGATGGATCTTGTCCTAGCACTCCTAGATATTGAAAAACTTTTTGAGTATAGACATATGCGTCAGACTTTGCTCTTGGAAGGGTATTATTACAAAAGGGACATCCAATCACATTTGAGAGTTGAAAGTTGAACAAAGCTTAAAAGAGATACATTACGTAAAAAAAAGAGCTTTTAGCCATGAATCATTGCTTACGAGTATGGTGGCACTACTTATTAGGGTCTCAATTCATGGTTAAGATAGAAAATGCTACAGTCAGTCATTTTCTTACTTAATTGAAACTTATAGCTAAATAAGCGAGATGATAAGAGTTCTCAGCTAAGTTTGATTTTCATTTTGAACACAAATTTGAGAAGGCTAATCAAATAGCAGACACCCTTAATAGAAAGGTTGAATTAGTATCTCCTAGAGTTACAACTCTAATCACAGCCAACAGAGTAACTATGGATATTCGCAACTCTATTGAAGAAAACCTAAAAAGAAACCCCCAAGCCATTGCCATCACGAAATTAGTAGAGAGTGAAAAGTTTAAGTATTTTTGGGTAAAAAATGGACTTGTGCTAACAAAAGGGCCACAGATATTTGTTTTGAGAGTTGGAGAGTTAAGATAGAAGTTGATGCGAGAATGTCATGACACTCCATGGGTAGGACATTTAGGTTGGCAACGCATGGTAGCTTTATTGAAATAAGTTTACTATTGGCCCCACTTGTGGTAAGATGTGATGCATTATACCAAGACATGCTTTATTTGCCAACAAGACAAAGTGGAGAGACAAAAGCCAATAGAATGCTTCAATGGCTACCCATACCAAGCAAGTTGTGGAAAAGCATTTCTCTTGATTTCATAGTAGGGCTTTTTAAAGTGGGAGATATGATAACAATTCTAGTGATAGTGGATCATTTTTCAAAATACGCTACATTTTTCTTAGTATAAAAGTTTAGCTCTATAGAAGAAACAACCCTTATAATTTTCAAACATATGGTAAAATACTAAGGTGCACCTAAAAGCATTATTAGCGACAGAAATCCACAGTTTACTATTTTTTTTAAAGAGCTTTTCAAGCTATTGGGTCAGAACTTAACATCTCCTCTAATTATCATCCACAGATAAATGGTCAAATAGAACGCTTCAACGAACTACTGGAGGAATATCTATGACACTTTGTACAGGCAACCTAGAAGAATTGGCTTAATCTATTTGATGTGGCTAAATTATGTTTCAATTTCCAGAAGAGTTCTGCCATAAACAAAACCCTTTCGAGGTTGTCACACTTCCCCACACCATAATGGAATCCTACAATAGGAAGAGCCCCTGAGCATTTAACTTTTCCAATGAGTTGAGCCAGAATATTGAGATCGCTCTAGCTTATCTAGAGAAAGCCTCCAGCCACATGAAGAAGTGGGTAAACAAAGGTCGAAAAGAGCACCATTTTAAGGTGGGGGACCTTGTGCTAGCAAAATTGGTACTTAAACAACTCATATTTTGAAGGCAAAAAGATAAACAACCAATGTGGAAGTATGAAGGCTATGTGCAAATTACAACTAAGGTGAAGAAAACCTTCTACAAGATTGATTCACCAAAAATGGATGAAAGTGCATCTAGTGTTTCATGTCAGCAAACTAAAGTTGTCCTATACAAATTTATCAGATGCTAGTAGGAGTCAAACCACAAGAGCTACCATCACCACCAAGCCACCATCACAACATTAAGTAGAGGAGATTCATACAGAGAGACAATCATAATCAACCGACGACCAACATAAGAGTATTTAATGAAATAGGAAGTTCTAGGCACAAATGAAATCACCTAGGAAAAGGAAACCAATCTCTGCACCTTCAACCAGAAGATTGAAGAGTTCTAAGTCAACAATTCAATAAGGACGCTGATAGATTACGTGGGGGAGGATGTCATGAGCCAACTTTGTATAGGGCTATGATAGGGTAGAACTGCATAGGAGATTAAGTCTTTTGTACCCCCAAGGGAGATGTCCCCTTTTTAAACATTGTAATAGCACTTGGTGGCATCTCTAGAAATGCTTGTTGAGTCTTGAGGGGGAAGATCCTTGAAGAAAGGACTGTCCCCATCTCATGCATTGTAACGGCTCTTGGTGAAATTCTCGTAAACTCTCATAAACTCTTTATAAGAGGTAAGCAATAGGTGAATTATTAGATTGCCTCACTGGTAAAGATATACACAAAGTTATTGGCTGACTTGTGTGGAAGCGTCCACCCAAACGCTACACGGACTATCACACATTTAAGTGAAGGAACGTAATTTGTTAGACAAAGCATATACAATCGAAGAAATTTCATCCTTTTACTCGATATATTTCGAACTCACTATGTCGACAAAATGGAATTAGGTGTCATGGAATGAGATGGAAAAGACAAGGAAGCAATGGATCATCTTTCGATTTTCACCCATCTGGGCTGACATTTAGATCAACAAGACATGTCTCAATTCCCATAAAAGGATGGATCGTTCTAGCAATTTGTCTTGACTACAAAAGTTTTTTCCAATACCAAAAAGAAATTGCAGCCTTCAGGAGATTCGACATAAAGAGTGCAGATGAAAAGTGACAAATACTAAGAACATAGAATGGTATACAATTTATTACATTTCTATTCCTTGAAAAAGACTTAACAACTGCCCTTGTGAAGAACTAGTCAAGCACCACACCATTTCCTTTGATTTATCTATTTCTTATGTTTGAGACAACTGAGGCAGATTCTGTTTATAAGAGATTTGTCTTGTCTAGGCGCCCTTTATCTGTTCAATAAAGCTCTTGAAATTCTTGTAGGAAGACCCGCCTTCATTGACACTCTTTCTGGCAAGCTCCTTTAGGTGCAGGGCGTTTGCTTTTATAGCATCAGACGAGAGCACTGCTTTTATTTTTGTACTAATTTCGTGCCTTGTTATGATTCCATTTTCATCTGGGTCAACTCCCAAACCAATCCTCCAAACGTCGCAAATATAGCTCTTATTATGTAACTGATCAGTGAAGTAGGGCCAACATAGGAAGGGTATCCCCTTGCTTAAACCCTCCAGAGTGGAATTCCATCCGCAATGGCTTACGAAACAAGCAACAGAAGGGTGAGCTAACACCTTTTCCTGAGGCGCCCATTCAACAATTTTTCCACGATCAGCTATTCTTTCTATGAATCCTTCAGGAAATTTGGTAACTGCCCCATTTGAAAGGTTGGATCTGACTACCCATAAAAATGGATGGCCAGTGAGTTCAAGACCAAGTGCCAGTTCATCTACTTGTTGTAGGCTAAATTTTCCTGTGCTACCGAATGCAACATAGATGACAGAGCCTGCAGTTTGTTGATCAAGCCAGCTTATGCAAACTGAGTCCTCAGGCCAAAAGTTCCCAGCAAAAGTTCCCATATAGTTTCTGGCATGTAACGGGCCTATAGGTAAGACGTTTGGAACCAATTTTAAGGCTGATGCATCTAGTTCATAAAATGTGTTGGAAAGAATCAAGTTGGTAAGCCCAACAATTTTGGGCACGGTACAAGAAAGTCCAAATATAGCTTTCTGCATTTCTGGATCACTGCTGCTCCATGGAATATCTGACCTACTCCAGGCAGGGATTTCCTTTGATAATGAGATTGATTTGCCTTTCACTAGAATTCCTGCAAAGATCAAATTATTCTATCCATAGTCAAGCTTTTAAAAACTACAAATAAATAAGAATACTGTTGGCCTGAGGACTCAGTTTAAACCAGAATAGGGGTATATACCTAAAGCCAACCCCAAAATCATATGTACATGTACAGTTAATTATAAATGCTGCCAGATTCTTACCATCCTTATCCAGAATTCCAGCCTCAACTAGCTGTGGAATTTGTAGTGAGAGGGCCAAAACTGCTGGTCCAGCAACTTGAACTGCAATTCGCTCGATCCCCATTTCCTTGGCCACTTCCAGTGCCCACACAGCCGTTGTATCAGCTAAAACACAAGTGATTTGCTCATTGATGTTAGACTGGTTTATTTTCTCAATCAAGCTCTTCAATGAACCCGGCATACCTTTCTGTGCCCTTTTTGTGAAATCAACAGCATTTCGTTGAGCACCTCCTGATTCTAAAGCATCAGGAATTGAAACTAGACTTATCAGGCTTTGCTCTTCGATGTCCGCTGATACTGAGGCCATAATTCTTTCATGTACAGATTCTGAATTAACAAATGTGATTTGCACTCCATTAGCAGCAATTTGGAGGGCCAACTTCATGAAAGGCGCCACATGGCCTTGTGCTGGGATGGGTATAGCCAGTACATGTGGTTTTCTAGCCATGGATACCGCTGCTACATCCCCAGACTAGCTTGCTTTGGGTCTGAACCCGCACTTATGTTATTTTCTCTTGCTGTTTAGCCTACCTACGGATAGCTATCCTTTCATTTTCAATTGTTTAAATATATCTGGTTGTCAATTCATCAACAACTTACTCTGTCTTCACATAGGAGTATGATTAAGTGTCCCCTTTTATTGTTTAGTGTTTAATGTGAGTTCTTGTTTCTTTCACCTGTATTTTTCTCCTTGTAAGGATTAAAGCAAATCCGGCCACTTAAAGCCTTTTTTTCTTAAAAAAAAAGGTTGTTACTACTTAAAACTAGTTTTAATGATTTGTAATCTGGAATTTCTATTGAACCACTAGAGGTTAAGTGCATACATACTTGGCACTTGGTAGATGTTCTCTATGTACTCTACAAAGGAATGAAAATAAAAATTTGGCTTCTGACGTGCATGCATTCAACACTTTTCACATGTACGCAGAACAAGTTGGATAATAGGACATATGTTTTTGGTTATGAATAATAGGATATCAATATTGAACAACTTTCACTTAATATTCAAAGAACTATAAACTATTGGAGTTGAGAGTGCTAATGAAGAAGACGAAGAATTTCATTACAGCATCAAAAGCTTATATAAAACAAACAAGGGTTCATGTCCCGTGGTTAACAACCAGAAGGAGGTAAAGGGCAGAAAACAAAGCAACTTAAATCCATAAATTTAGGCTTAAAACAGAACAAGTAATAATGATTACAAAAGAGGGGCCTTAATGCTCCATTCCTTCAACTGCAACAAGTAACGTGAAGCAGTCTCTTTTCACAGCACCATGCAGCCATCAACCTCAAAAAAACGAATTCTAAACTTCAACAGAGAGCTGCCTTTAAGATGATAATCAATCACTAGACCAACTTATTTTTTTTAGGTATACAATCACAACAACTTCAATAGAATCTGTCTTCTCTCATTCTGCAAAATGATTTGGTAGGCCTAATTAAAGGCTCTTAATATGTTCAATAAAGATCTTCAAGTTCTTGAAAGAAGACCCACCTTCATTGGAACTCTTTCTGGCAATTTCCTTTATATGCAGCGCATTTGCCTTTATATCATCAGAAGAGAGCAATTTGTTTATCTTTGTACTTACTTCATGCCTTGTTGTGATTCCATTTTCATCTTTGAACAGTTCTAAACCAATCTTCAAATCATCACAAATGTAGTTTTTATTGTTGAATTGATCTGCTATGTAAAGCTGTCAGTTAAAATTCTATTACGCAAGTATACGTATCGAATAGATAGTATAT